CATTATTGGTGATCCATGACTCGTGATCCTTACATAATCATCAGCGACTAATTTCGCTTCAGAAAGAATTCTAATCATCTTATGACTAGTTATACTGATTTCAGAACCACTATGTAAATCGTCATGATGATCAAACTGCTTCCAGAAAGCGAGTTCCTCGTGACCAATGTGAATTGATTTGGAAGCATCGAGCTTTAGAAGTTGGTATGAGTCGTGAATGGTTCGGTATAGCATCTCAGCACATGCTAAAGTTGCGAGGTACCAAGGATTACCTTCACTCTTTCCGACACCATCATACACCTTTTTTATGATAGTCAAGAAGACATCCAATCAGTGCTTGCCTACAATCAGATCAGGTGAAAAGAGGAAACAAAGCACATCTTCGGGATAACGTCCGATAGCCTTGGCGGGCCGGGATGCGTAGAGACGATTGAGGGGATAAAGATCCCTGGAACCGAAAAATGGGAGGTATCTTAAGTATGATGAGACAAGATAGCGGATTATAATAGGTAATGACTAACCTCATAGACTCGACTAGCGCATGATGAGTGGCTAGGATTCGAGATGATGAAGGTTCCGATGGGGAGTCATTGTTTTCGGTATGTAGGCTCGCCAAGATCGTGCTGACGTCTAACCAAGAGGTCTATAGATCAAGTGAATGATGAGTCAAACGATATGAAATCCCCAGTTGTGACAAGCTTGATCTTACTTTACCGTATGGATATGTCCAATTTTGAGTAGCCATGATCACATCTCTCTGGTCATCCCAGAATAGATCTAACCGAGGAGTGATAGCAGACAATTGTAACTGATACCAATCTGCTGCACCTGGGTCATCCATTTGACGTGAAAATTTAACTCCATCTGCAAGGGCGCTCTGAATGACTGCAAAGGTGTAGTAATGATGTCCGTCTACTTCTTCCCATAAGTCGAAAGACGTCTTCGACCAAGTTGAAGCGATATACTCAAGATCAGCTGAAAAAGAATCCAAGAGTTAGTTCCCATGAGAAGTAACGGTCAATTATGTAGCGTGTCAATGAACGGATTGATACCGCACCTTTTATAACACTCCTCGATTCCCACTTTCCGTCATATAATACTTCACGAACATAACTTGAAGCCTCTTCTCCACCACGTTCAAGATAGACATTGGCGAATCTGATTAGAGTTGTGGCTCTCAAGGCTGGACCATCTCGTTGAGGTCTACCCCAAGGACCCATAAACACATCACCATTAACATAATACTTTGGTTCACCTAAACCAACAGTAGAATGCAATCTAGATTGATCTTGAATATGCTTTGAAACTGAAACAAATGATTTGATTAATTCTAAAAGTGAATGATCACCATCTTCATATCGTATTACGATTTCTTTCATCACAAGAGCTGAATCTCTTGTCCAAGTATAAAAATAATCTGGTTCATGTTTCGAAGGTGAAGCGATTACCACACCAGGATAAGTTCCATTGACACCAATGTTCGCTAATAATGCATTCCATGAAATATTCGTTTGAGTTTCGATCCATCGGTTAAGCTTTATATCTTCTGGATCTTGATTTCTGAGAGGTGTTTCAAAAAAATCTTTGAACCATAAGATCACAAGTCCTACAGTGGTTAAGACCAACAAACTCTTCAAGTGTTGTTGGGGGGTTTTTCGCGAGATTCGGTCGATTGATGATTGTTTGGGTTGTTGAGATGAGAAAGCTTCTGCCTCATGAGTGACCTTGATATCTCGATGAATGTTAGACATGACTTCTAAGGTAAATATATAACTATCAAGTAGTGTCGAGTTGGTCAAATATGTAGTGTTTGTTGATCACCTGATGACTGATCGAATATTAATTGAAATGTTCAAACTTGATAATTAATATGATCAGGTGACTGATACATTATAGGCAGAAACCCATTCAGGGGTTCTGTTCTCATCCTATTCTATTGATGAACTTCCTTTGAACAAGGGAATTACGATTATCTTTAGAGGCCCATACGATTCGTTGCATTTTGTTCTCCTGTTGTGAGACTTGCGGACGAACTAAAGAATGAGCGCCAAGAATGCAGATGTGGTCGGTGGCGGAAATACTCCCAGTGCCCGATAAGTCGTGGCCCGACGAGTCATCACTGCGGGTTCTCATCCCTTTTGCCAATTTGGGGTCACTCTGGCAACAAGACGGCCTGAATATTTTGGGCCAATACTTTGAGCTCTCTCCAAGACAGTCTTCATGAAGTGTCAAGATGTTTCTAAGAAGAAATCCAAGGCTTCTCCAACACCACAAAACATATGTGGTTTTTCTGGAACCTAGGACTCTTCAAGAATGAAATAGAACAACAACATGGATGATGAATGATGTTGGAAACTTGAGTATACATAGAAGATGTAAGAGTCTACAAGTTCAACATCGTTATTAGGGATGAAATAAAACAAGTTGATCAGAGTGATCAAATTGAATTTCAGCAGCTCACTCTAAAAGCATTTTGCCACACTGGGAAATATTTGCTTGTGGAAAAGCGCATAAATCAAACCTGAGGTAGAAAGCTGTAGAAAGGGAAATGAGATGATCACACATCCATCTTTGGTACCTCTTTGATGTTTATAGCTCATCTGAGCCAACATTCAGATACAAACATCTTTTAAATCAGATGATACAATTTCTATTGACTCATCAAAAAGATCTCAATTCAAGTTTACATTCTGCATTCACAAAAAAATCCACAAAATTAATTTCAATCTTTATTTATGTTAGTATATTTTAAGTAAGCTCAAGAAAAAAAAACCAAGAAACAAATTCAGTACAAGTCTATATATTTGATTTAAAAACAGGATGATACTAAATCCAGCCCGGTGTTACTTGCGCTGACCGCCCGGTCTTAGTCTGTATTGCACTAGCTTGCACTAGCAAAAAGCCTCGATCAGCCTCTATCCCATAAGATTTGACAACCGGGCGGTCTCTCAACCTTTCCAGATGTCAAGTGAAAACCCCAGCCCGGAGTTCATGAATTTCAGGTTGTGACCGCCCCCTCCTATTCTGGAAATGTGATTTAGATGTCTAGAGTATATACAGCTAGAATACATAGGTTTAGACATGCAAGTCTTTGAACCTTTGCACCTAATCCCACGTATGTGCAACAAGATTTTCAAGAAAACTGATTGTACTCCACGTACGCCCACTCCGCCACCAACTTTAACTGCGCCAACTTATGAAAAATGTCTGGTTTTCCGGGCCATCACCAACACTACTCAGCGACTCAAACTGCATCAGCACCATATGAAAATGCACCTGGTCAACCCTGTCAGATATACCAGCCTTTGCTTCAACAAACTATCCAAAATACAACTCCAGTTACAGCGTATACAAGTCACGAAAATAACGCGGCTCAGCATTGGACCCTTCAAGCTCCTTATTCACCAGTGCCTGATAAACACATCCAAAACCCAAATATAGTTCCAGCTTATCCAAGTCACGAAAATCACGTGGCACATCATCAGTCCCATCAAGCTCATTATGCATTACCGCCACAACAATTGGATCAAAACACATACCCAGTGTATCCAAATTACAAAAATCCCGGGGATCATACTTGGAGAAATCAAGCTTGTTATCCACCACCACCTCAACCACCTCCAGTTTATCCAAGTCCCCCAAATCACGTGGCTCAGCTTTGGACGCATCAATCTTGTTATTCACCACCACCACCACAAGGCATTCAAAATACATATCTGAGGCATCCGAGTCACGAAAATGACACATGTCATGCTTGGAGCAATGAAGCTTGCTACCCACCACACACCCAGTATTCTCGACCCCCAATTCAATTGTGTACCACTCCAGTTCCGAACTCAATCTCTTCTCAGCCTATGTACACTTACAACCAGATGACTTGTTCAAATCAGACAATTAATCCAGTGCTTGATCCAATTACAGCAGTTTACCAACAGCCCGAACTTCCAGTCATGCCGTTACCCACTGTAATTAATCATCAGGCAACAACCCCAATCTTACCTCCTGTCGGCTCAAATCACACACCCTTATCTTCTACTGTATTTCATCTTCCACCACCTAGTAACATAATTCTAGAATCTGATGAAGATGCAGAAGGGGATTCTGAAACAGATTCTGAGGCAGAAGCCAATCATCATGAGGATCCAGTAAGACACGCGGGAGATGTAGAAAAAGTTCACAATGATGAAGAAGAAGATGAATTTGAAGAAGTCCAATTGACTTCTATGGGAGAAAATTTTCCAAAGGATGCTGATTGGCCTGATGAAGGTAAATACTTACACTTCTGTCTTTCATTTCAGTCATCTTCAAAATATCTGATGACAGCTTTTATATATAGGTATTGCTCCAGTCCGCTTACTTCTTGGACCGGTAGTTGGGAAAACTTTCAGCAACGTGGTACATGGTCTGATGTACATTCGAGCAGTTGCACGACACCAGGGCTATGCACTTGCAGTCACTAGTCACAAAACCGAGGAGAAGAAAACCCTTCGCATCTACCTCGCGTGCTCTAGAGCTGGAGAACACAAGTCAAAAGCAACTATTCGAACCACATCTACACTGAAAACGAATTGTGAATTTCAAGTGTCTCTCAATTTCTGGACTAGCTTACAATTGTGGAAAGTCACTATGAATAAGAACCGACCTGAGACTTACATTCACAATCATGACCCATTTAGAGTCGCTGAAAACCTAGCCACCTATCGAAAGCTCACCAAAGCCCAGAAGAAAGAGATCTGTATTCTCTCTGATGCCGGCTTAAGACCAAGGCAAATCAGACTCGTTCTAGCTCGCGATGCATCAATGCCTACTCCACTGATACGAGATATCAACAATGTACGTGCACAGCATCGAGACCAATGGTTGAGAGGAAGGACTCCAGTGCAAGGTCTCATGGACCTGATGAAAGAGAAAGATTGGGCTTCTCGAGTTCAGACTGACTCGGAAGGCAAGATACTCAACTTATTCTTTGCAAGTCCCGATGGTATACAGCTTGGACGACACTTTCCGACTGTGTTGGGATTGGACAGCACGTACAAGACAAACAGATTTAAGTTCCCAATGCTTCACGTTGTTGGAACTACAAATACCCATCGGTCCTTTACTCTTGCCGTCATCTTTATGTCCAACGAATTGGAAACCTCTTATGAGTGGGCTCTGACCCAGCTGCGAGCAGTCGTATTTGATACCGATACAACCATTTTACCCAGCACATTCACTACCGATCGAGAGTGGGCACTTATCAAGGCTATTCAGACAGTTTTCCCCGATTCACATCACCTCCTCTGTATCTGGCACATCAACCAGAACTTATTGAAGAACTGTCGGAGTCAAGTAAAGAACGCCGAAGGCAAGGTTGACACTGCTGAATGGGACGTATTCATGAAACTATGGAATTCTTTCTGCTGCTCATCAAACCAAACAGATCATGATACAAATCTGGAGGCAGTTACACAATTCTCGAAAAAGCATCACTTTTACGATTATCTCAAAAACACCTGGCTGAAACATAGTCACAAGTTTGTCACTCTATTTACATCCACACAACTTCACTTTGGTAATTCAGCTACATCCCGAGTTGAGGGAGCCCATAAACATATCAAGCTGTTCATTTTTGGCGGAAATCAAGATTTTCTCTCATGCTTTCACTCTATCTCTCATGCATTGCAACATCAAATCAGTGAGTATGTTGGGCACGAGGGTAATGAAACAAACAAAACCCTCAGCAATCTGCCCAAAGCTTTCAGTCTCCTCCCGAGCAAGATCACACAGTACGCCATTCTCAAAGTTCAAGAGCAATACCTTCTTATTCCCCAATGTGCAAGTCGCATTTGCACTGGAAGTTTTCGTGGTTCATGGGGTATGCCTTGTGCACATGAGCTGGTGGATATAGTTTCTAATGGAAATCTCATTTCACCCGATCATTTCCATGATCAGTGGAAGTTGGGGATTGACCTTTCTTTTTCAACATACAACAACATAAGATCAATTATGAAAAGGAAGATTGATGTCCTATCCGACCTACCCGAGCATCAACTTCGCAAGGTACATAGCGAGATAGAAATGCTTGAGACAAACCGATATGCACTGGTGATGATTTCCGAGCCCAAAGTCCGGACAAACGTGCGAGGTCGCCCTAAACTTGATTCCCAAAAAAATCGGTCACAAACTTCAACCACCCGATATAGATCTGACTTTGAAATTCTAGAAGAGCACAACAAACGGACATACAGCTGTAGCAAGTGTCACCAACGCGGCCACCGGGCAAACCACTGTACGCCTGCTCTAGCCGAAGCTGCTGCTCGTTATCCAATGCCAGAACACCCTAAAAAGTCTAAAAAAAGGGCAACACCCAAATGTAGTAAGTGTAAAGGGGTAGGGCATCGTGCTAATCGGTGTACAAAGGTTGAGGAACTTACTGCTGAGGAAATGGCGCTTGACAATGAAATTGAATCTGAAGAAGCTGTTTCATCAAGTGTACAAATCGACTCGTCATCCCCTTTCAACTTCAATGTTGAGAACTCTGCATCAAAAGCTGACCGAGATAATGAATCCGAACCCTTGGAGGACAATTTCATACTTGATGACTTATTGACTAAGGCGGATCACAACTCACCCGACTCCGACGACAGTTTTGAATCGAACTGGGACAAAGATCTCTGGGGTCCCGATGATGAACCAAGATGTCCGTTATGTGACGAACCATTACCTGATAAACCTTCCGAGAAGTTCAAAGAGATGCTACAATTTCAGCTTGCTAAGCCGCATGCCAAAAAGCGACCACTTCCTGGTAACCCAGATGCGGTGGAACTTCCGGTGAGTGGATCGGTTCAGATTCGAGATACTTATGCTAATTTTATGTTTTTGTTGTATTCTCTAACGTAGTATATTGAAATAGCTTCCACATGCGAACAGCACGACAGGGAGCGCAATATAATACCACAAGGCCAACAGCGCGGCTGGCCCTCATCAATTGACCCACAAGTATTGAGCGGGTAGGTGTTCATCTATTCAAAGTTTTTGCAATTGAACAAGAGTACTCAGGTCTATTCAATGTTCTTCTGCTTTATAGGCGTGTAAGAGCGCTTGAAGAAGCCCTGTTGCAAATTGTGCACCATAAAGACGACTCAGTGTTCTTTACTCGTGCAATTTCAGCGTGGAAAAAGAATCAAGGCAACAGGCATCGTACAATGAATGATTGGGAGGAGTTTGATGTTGAACAACCCGGATAGTACGTTTCCAGATCACTCTCTTAGGTACTGATAAGATGGCTGATTCAATAATTTACATAGCTATGGTATGGTTGGCCTCAAAGTGATTTTGAGTATTCTGGACAAGTTATTCACCAGCCCTGCATCAAACATACTCACACTCAATGAAAATCGAACTTTTCCCTTACCCACCGACATCTTTATTCAGAGAGTATTAGTTCCAGAGGTCGCGATCAGATTGATTGCTGAAGACCTTGGCCTATCAACAAACGATCCCAAGGTTCAGAAAACTCTTGAAGATAGTCGATCATATGGTGTTGCACTGTTTTCTGAAAGCAACACCCTTGTAAACACTGTAGTTCCTGAGATTCAGGCGCGGTCTGCCCTGTCATCACTTAAAAAGAAAAACACTTCGGCTGAAGATAGATTCCTGGCACAGGTTCCAGAGAGAATGGTACCTTATCTTGGTACAAATTACAATCCACCCGCGGACGGGCACTGTGGATATCATGTAATTGCTGCAGCAACTGGAATGAAGGGGGCTGAGAGCTACTTGGCTGTCCGACAAAAATTACTTGAAGAACTGACAACACATCGCAAAGCTCACGAAGATCTCTTGTCAATACCAGCGCAACCACGGCGTAATCCTTGCCGTGCTCGAGACAAGGCTCAGTCAGTAGGTTTTGCTTCTGTGCAGGAGGCAATTGAACGGCTCAAATGCGAATCAATCACATGCACACAAGAATCATGGCTCAGCATGCCCACAATGGGATATGCAATAGCCAGTGCTTTTGAACGGCCAGTGATCTTGCTTGTCAAGGAAGTATGGCTGTGTTGGAGCTTCCTTCCATATTGAATTGATTTCAAACCATCAAACCCGATCATTCTGTCCTTCGTTGACACAGACCACTTTGTAGGTTATGGCGTCCAGTCTGGAGTAATACCCTTTCCTCCTCTCTTCCGACAAGGATGGACTAATTGTAGTAACCAATACCTCCCTCGCTGGAAAGACGAGTTTACACAGTCTTGGAAACTCTGGCAAAACCTACATCTACCCTCTGTGAAGTAGAACATGTATCTCAACTCTTTCTACGATATCCTCCATCTTTGCGATACAGTGTGAAATGTGTACTTTTTCTCGCTTGTTCTCACTTGTTCTATGGAGCATTCACCATTTATTACTATCCATTGCAACATAATAACACACATCCTCACATTAATATCTTACACAGCAAATAAAAATTTGAGATGTGAGAGCTGAAGGGAAATGAGGATCGTCTTGAAAGTATATTCTGTTCTCCTTTAAATTGTGAAACATTAAGAGTTGAAAGGAATATTATTGAGACTTGAACATAGAGTTGTTCTGAGGTGAGGAGTATGCATCAAAGTTGAAGATCGAAGGGGATCAAGTTGAAGTCGAATTGAGGTAATGAGGAGAGGTGGTGAGGTAGATTGGTTGTGGTTGTGAGAATAGCTGTGGGAGATGGCCGCGTGATCTTGTTACTTCCAAAAGACGATCAGATTAGAGTCGTAGTCCAAGTAGGTGAAGTTGAAAGAATAGGTTGGATCGCTGAGAATGGTTCACGATCATGAACTGATCTACTTTCAGTTCCCGATCGTGAACTGAGTGGTCCTCTGGAGATGGGCCACGTCATCTTGTTACATATA